ACTACAGGCCTGACATCATCGCAGCATTCACGGACGCCGGCCTGACGCTGAAACACAAGTTTGGAAAGGTCCAAAATCTTTATTTTTATCTTTTACTGTCTGAGTTTCTTCTTCTTTTTTCTACTTCTAACACCAAAAACTTTTTCATGCTTCATCTTCAGTCACCAGCTTCAAACATCTACTGCAAAATCTGTCTTTTATTCTTACAACCTGTCTTATTGTGAAGTTTAGGGTGTGTTCAAAAAGTACCTACTATCTCCTGTTCCTAACCTCTTTTCATCGATCTCAAGGAAAAGTGGGTAGGAGAATTACTGAGGACTTAGAAAAAGAGAAAAGTGGTGTGCTGAGGATTTGAACGAGCTCACACTCATTTCTTAACGTTGTGATGACGCATGTCCGCTATATTGACAATGTGTAAAAGATGGACTACAAAGCATGCGTTACTTCTCCACAACGTGTTCTGTTGTTTTATGGGGGTAATGTAAACATTGAGAAAATCATTCATTTTTCATTAGAAAGGCTGGAATTTTAAAGAAGGAGGAACAGATTCACTAACTTCTTCATGCTGAGTGTTTAGAGGCGAGCCCACTTATTGCTCCTTGGTAAATGCTTCCATGAAACGGCAGAAATGACCTGAACTTGGCTGCTCTTTCTCAGCAGTGTTCACACAGCGAGTGACTTCTCTCTGCTGAATCTGTAACAGATAAAAGTGCACTATGCTGTTAAAACTACCAAGTGATGCACTTATACATACACCTGTCACAACTGGGACTTCTCATAATATAACGGTAAATAATGTTTGTCTTCTGAAATTCTCACCAGATGTCAGTAATAACCCATCCAAGCCACACATGGAAACATAGACGTCCATAAATTATGTGTAAAAACGAGAAGTGACACAGGGAAAAGTATTGAACATGTGAAGAGAGGGATGTGTAAAAAGGCAGGGAGATTCAAGAAAGCAGCTAAAATCTATCAGTGATTATAAGTCAATCCTGCCACTTAGTGCAAATTAATATCAGCTCAATCAGTCCTGAATGATGGCTAATAAAAGGTGCCCAATTATCAAGTTGTCACACAGAAACATCTCATGACGGGTAAAACCAGTGAGGTCTCCCAAGACCATCATAACCTTATTGTTGCAAAAACATACTGATGAATTTCTAAAAATAACAGTTCCATTGAGTACTGTTGGGCCCAATGTCCGGAAATGGAAAGAACAGAATTTCACCATAAACCGGCCGCGACCAGGTGCTCCCTGCAAGATTTCAGACAGGGGAGTGAAAAAAGTGGCATCAGCTCGGCAGACTGCTTCTCAAGTCCAATGCAGGATAACTCAATACATCTTTAGCCTGAGCTTGAAGCTTGGTAGAATGCCACAGCTGTGGAAAACATCTTGTGTGGTGTCAGTTTCCAAGAGGCCACAGCCAAAGGACTTCAACAGCTATAGGCCGGTGGCTCTGACATCACATCTGACAAAGATCCTGGAGAGGCTAGTCCTTGCTCATCTTCAGCTGCAAGTGAGCTCACTGCTGGACCCACTCCAGTTCACTTATCGCCCCAACCGGTCAACAGATGATGCCATCGCCACCACCCTACATCTGGCTCTCACTCACCTGGACAATAAGGGCATGTATGTATGAATGCTGTTCATAGATTTCACTTCAGCATTCAACACAATCATTCCTCAACACCTGACTGGAAAACTGAGCCTGCTGGACCTGAACACTTCGTTCTGCCACTGGATCCTGGACTTTCTCATGGAGAGACCTCAGACAGTCCAGATCAGTAACTGCATCTCCATCACCACCACAATGAGCACTAGAGCCCCTCGGGGCTGTGTGCTCATCCCACTGCTGTTCACTTTGCTGACTCACGACTGTACAGCAATGCACAGTTCAAACCAAATCGTCAGTTTCGCTGATGACAGGACTGCGGTGGGTCTCATCAGCAAAAGCAATGAGTCAGCATACAGAGAGGAGGTGCAGAAGCTAACGGACTGTTGCAGAGTCAACAACCTGTCTCTGAACGTGGACAAAACAAAAGAGATAATTGTCGACTTCAGGAGAGCATGGTGAGATCACTGTCCACTTAACATCAATGAATCCTCTCTGGAGGTTGTCAAGAGCACCAAATTCCTTAGTGTTCACCTGGCGGAGACCCTCTCCTGGTCCCTCATCACCAGCTCCATAACTACCTCCATTACACTCAGTGACTGGACTGACACACACATACCTTCACACACGTCACTACATTACCTGCACAATGGCATATGCAGACACACCTCACACACCTTCATACATCAATTACATGCATAGGTTGTTGCTTTTGCTTTTTTGCACAGTGCTCAGTCTTTTTGCACAACCCACTGTCTATTGCACTGTCTTGTATCTGTATCATTCTGTTCTGTCTGGTGTTGCACTGTTTTTTGCAGTTTTTCACACTTGCACTTTATGTAGTCCTGGTTTGATTTTACTCCAAGATCATGTGGCACCATGATCTTGGAGGAACGCTGTCTCGCGTCACTGTGTACTGTACCACTGCACATGCTTGAAATGACAGTAAAGCCACTTGACTTGATTTGACTTGATATTTTTATCTAAATAATCTAAATCTCTTTATTTATTCCTGGCCTATCTGCTTTTCTGCTGTAACAATGAATTTTCCATCTGTGGGACTAATAAAGTCTATCTTATGTCTGGTCAGATGAGTCCAAAATTAAACTCTTTGGATGCCATAATGCGTTTTAACATCATTGTACGTTTGGAGGTCAAAGGGAACTATATATCACCCCCAGAACACTAATATAGATGTTTGGAGTTGGGAACATCGTGGTGTGGGGCTCCTTTTCAGCATACAGCACTGACAGACTTCATATAACTGAAGGAAGGATGAATGGAAAAATGTACAGAGAAATTCCTGATAAAAATCTGCTGCCATCTACCAGGATGATGAAGATGAAACGAGACGAAAGAAAACTCTCAGCTGGTGTCAGAGATAGGAAATAAAGCTGCTGGATCAGCTGACCTCAACCAACTGAAAAGAACTCAAGGTCAAAGTTCATAGACGGGACCCACGGAACCTTCAGGGTTTGAAGACTGTTTGTGTGGAAGAATGGACCAAAATCACACCCGAGCAATGCTGCGACTAGTTTCTCCATACAGGAGAAGCTGAATATGAAGCTGTGATCACCAACAAAGGCTTTGTATAAAGTATTAATCCAATTTCAGTGAGTGTCTTCATTTATTTTCTCTGTGTCATTTATCATTATTACACATATTTATGGACATCTATGGTTTGATTCCTTTGCATGTGTGGATTGGATGGGTTATCACTCACATCTGGTGAGAATTTAATATCAATCGCACCTTCAGAAATATATTTACTTTGAACTTACTTAAATTACTTATTTTACCCTCTGTATATTTATTTTGTTTCCTCCAGCCTGTTAAGGATTTCTGTAAAATTCCCTCCATCGTAACCGATCCCAGTTGACCTGAAGTAAACATGAATCCTAAAGACTGTAATACAACAGTGATCATACAGAACCTTAAACACTCTTTGATCATTTATTATAAATCATAATCTTGAACTCACTGTTCTACTTTCTTCATGCAGCAACAACATCAAATTTATATTCCAGCAGCTTGATGTTCAGAGTTTAGCTGTGAATTTAACAGCTTCTGATAAAAACTATAAATTTATCCACAGGTTATGGATAAAATGGAAAATGCAGTTAGAAGGAACATCAAAGTCGATCCCACCCACTTCGATTATGTCAGTGTTTTCAGAAATGGTTGGATGGTTGTTTGCAGTGAATTATAGGACACATTTTCTCCTCTCCTTTCGTAGAGGATGCTAGTGTTTGGAGTCATGTCTCTTAGTGAGGAAACTTTCACAGAAACATGGACTTTTGGAATGCACCCATAGTTACCTCCTTTATTCTGAAATCATTTTATTGTGAAGTTTAGTTTTCTGTCTTTTATTCTGAAAGCGGGTGTTTTATTGTAAAAGGTGGAGGACAGTCTGGAGCTGTCATTTCTGATTGAAGATGTGAAGCTGGACATTTTTTTCTTCTACGACAACGGTGATATCATGTGGAATGGCGGGACGCAGGCAAAGAGTGGCAGGAAGTTCAAGTAAAATCCTTTCACCTTAAATATTTGTACAGACGGCGTAATCGTCATGTCGTTCATTGCTACGTAAAGTCATTACCATCTGTCAGGTCACTTTGTCAACCCTGCCGCAGGTTAAAAAATTTTTTCTTCTTATCTCCAGATACATCTTTCCACGCTTCTCGCTGTGCTGGGCGGAGCTTCTTGAGCTGAAAGTGCGTGTTCCATGTGAGACGCTTGACTACGTGACAGCAAACTATGGCGCCTCCTGGAACATCCCACTGAGGGTCTGGGACTGGAAATCATCACCAAGCAATGTGCAAGCGAACGGGGTGTGGCCTGTGGCAGAGTGGGCAGAGCTTATCCAGGTGTACTGACTGATATTTTATTATCAGCCATCAGTCAGCTGATCGGGACCACACACACACACACACACACACGATTCTGTTGTTGAAACAAACTAATAAAAGTTTTGTTTAAATTGTGTCTCCTTTTGTTTAGAACGTGACTTACTGTAACAGGATGTGATGAAATCAGTAACATCCCTATTTATATGGCCCATTAAACAAATGTCCTAGTGATTTAAATTTGGCATCGTACACAGCTGCAAACATTTGTAAATATTTTGCAAACAATACAACCAGCAGGAAATTAAATATTATTCATTGTTTAGGGACAGATTGGTGTGTCACTGTTTACATCCAGACTACCAGACTTCATTCATATATTACGTGTTTTTACTCGTGATCAAACTAACAGAACGTCTGCAGTCTGATCATTAAGTGTCTTCTCCCCATCAGACTCCATTCAAAGTCCCACCGTTTATACTCTTCCTTGTGATGCAAAAAAAAAAAAAATTAACATTATTTTATTAGATCAATAATACTTTTGCCTCTAGGCTTTGACAGTTATGTTAAATAATCTAGATCAACTCTCCACGACTAAATTCATCTTCTCACTTTTTACTTCTTTACTGAGCAAAAAAAGCCAGAAGCCATTCATTTTAGCACCATTTTTATCATTTCTTGTGGCGCAATAAAAATATCAACATCATAAATTTGTTACGAGGGGCCACCTCTCCACCAGGTTCCATTGATTTTTCCCCACTATCTTTCAGTGGGCTGAAGTTATTTTACGGTAAATCTCAATTTATTATATCAACACATTTCTACCTTTTATTATTACCAATCTGTGGGTCATCTCGCCACCAGACTCCATTCATATTCTCATGAGCTTTACTCATTTAGTCTTACTACTGAAAAATAATAGCCAGATGCCAGTGCGATCTCCCAATCAGACTCAATTCTCTCTGTGCCCATTTTTACTTAAACAGCGTCAGTTACAGATCAGTGATGACTAACAGAGTCAACGTCATTTCCAAACCAGACTCCATTCATTTTAACACAGTTTTTACTCTCCTAGTTTCAGTCTTTCAGCCCTGCTTCCGGTCCGGTTCGGCTTTCCGTCCGATGTCACTCCGCCGCCGGTTCGGCCTGCCCCTCCTTGTGGACTACGATGCCCTTGCTGATAAGGTCCGGAATCTCCACGGCGAGCCACGGTCCGAGTCCGAGCGCCATGAGGTGCGCGAGCCCGAACCGCGGCGCGTTCCGGGCCCAGAGCGGCGCAAAGTGTTCGGTGAGGCAGATTTTCCCGCCGCGGTACATTTTGGCGGTCTTCCCGTCCAGCTCCGGAACTGCCACCTCAGGCGCGGTGTCCGGGTACGTCACAGGGATATCGAACTCTAGCCGGAACTCGTAGCGCAGCAGCTCGTGGATGTACCAGCACGTGCCAGTCCAGCGCGTGCCGTCAGCGTTGGATTCGAGGCGGAACCAGTCGTTGTCGGCCGCCTTGTTCTGCTCCACGAAGCGGATCAGCGCCTGGTACTCCTCCTTCAGCCGCTGCGGCCACAGCGCGCGGTCTCGCGGCCCCGCGTGCGTCTTCAGCAACGGGATCTGCGAAACGGCCTTGCGCGTGGCCTCGTCCGCCATGATGCGCAGGAGAGTTAACGGGTGTGACTTTAGTTCGGTTCGGTCCGGACCCCTCAGGTGTGCTCTGAGGACTGACGTGGACTTCACCGGGAGCGGATCCGACCAACAACTTCCGCTTCCGGGTTTTCAAAACAAAAGCCTCAGTTTGTTCCCTTTTTTTTTTTTTTTTACCTTCAAAGTTTATAACAGGCATGTGACAAACAGCAACACTGCCCACCTGAGCAGCAACAGATCCGTCACAGGTATAAATTATTATGAGTTTGTACAGCTTTACACAAAAAACTGATCTATAATCAATCGATAACTAGTGACGCCAGATGATCGAACAGAAAAATTGATTACTGTTAATGATTACCATATAGTTTAAAATACAGGCACCTGATGAGTCATGCAGGTTATTTAAGTTGAACACTGACAGTCCTGCTGGTATACATACAGGTGCCATTAGTTCGAGTAATCCCATCCTCTGGTTGGATGAGGATGTGCCGATGTTTTCCTCCTTCCATGCGAACCCCCAGGGGGACCAGCCTGAAGCTGAAGAGGAGGAGGATTTCATTTTTAACCTAAACATTAACTCTGCAGTCAGCAAGACAATCTCCATGCCTCCTCAGGCTGGCATCCTTTCCCTCAGGCAGAGAGAGTCGCACTAAGCATGTGCAGAGTTCTCCATCAAGAACCGCAAGTTCAACGATTATCCATCCATCCATCCATCCATCCATCCATCCATCTTCTTCCGCTTATCCGGGGAAGGGTCACAGGGGCAGCAGCGCAAGCAGAGAAGCCCAGACCTCCCTCTCCTCAGCCACCTCCTCCAACTTCTC